TATGATTGTGATGTGATTGTGAATAAAACGTTGTATTGCATTCGTGTTTTAATTGCCTTTTATCTACTTAAGAATATTAAACTCTCGAACTACTTTCTCGTGTTTAAACATTATTGCGTGGATAAAATGCTACTTAAAACACTTATACAATAAATACCTATTGGCCGTTGCCAAATATTTCCTTTCTGTCACTAAAAAACATTTCCCATTTCCGACACCTCTTGTTTCGTTGAAACTTAAAAAATATTTCTCTAAAAGGTTCAATGGACCGTTAGAATTGATTTAGGATCAAACCCTGTTACGCCTGCTTTTTATTATTATAACAAACACTTCCCACTTATTAAACTTTGTGATAAATTCCCTGTTATAGTCCTGTATTTAAATTCACATTTTTTTATGTGACTTTATGTCTTCGATTTAATTTACTGTGTAAGTGTGTGGTCATTTTTTATGTGGTAATAAAATCAAAATGATATTTTCATCATCACCTGGCGCTGCCTAACACAATGCCATAAACCAACAACATACTGTCTAAAACTCGTTATATAAGCAGTAAACAGGTGAATGGGACATCTTATGAACAAGTAGATAATAAAGTATTCTTTATTAAAGGTGTTAATAATAGATACATATACATATACAATTATACATATTAAAACAAAAATCTACGACTGTGTGGATTATGTAAAAATTTTAAGGTAGCAAAAATATTGACGGAAGTTATCAAATTTACCTATTAGTGAAAAATGTTCCACTTTCTCGGTACATAGAGCAATGTATAAAATAGTATTCTTTATATTATTTAATGTTTTCCAATATTTTGTTAATACACTAGATGGTAATGATCGTGACTTATTCCCATATACTTCATTTGTTCTTGACAATTTGCCCCTTTGAATAAAGTTATTTTGAAGAAAACTGATACAAAACTCAGTTGTGGCGAAAACCGGCATATTCGTACAATTTTGCTCTGATCATTTTATCCGACGGGCAAAATCGCCAAGAACGATCAGATAAAGTATAGCGCCTTTTAAATTTTTTCTATATACCTACACTATTATGTTTGATGTAATAGCTATTAAAATTTTAACAGATAAAACGACTGATTAAATGTTATGTTTAAAGATGCAATTTTGTTTGATGTCAGTAGATTTTTATTGGCAAGGCATATAAATTTACTTTGAAAATTTAGATTATTTAAAACTCCGTTTCAACGAATGAGGGAATACTATTTCTCACTCAACTGTTTCAAGGAATGTGAAAATTATTAATAGTTTAAATCAAAACATTTACAAAATGAGAAAATAACGGGCATTAGGTCTAAAAAATAGTACCTCCATTTGAACTACAGGGTGTTCAGTAAAGTGGTAGGCAATTTCTCGGATTTGACTAGGTCAAGCAAAAGTAATGTCACAGATTCACATAAATTTTTTTATCGCCCTATATATTTATTAGCTCTTGAAGTTGAGAGTTCGAAATAGATTTTTCGTTTAAATTTGTTATTTCTTAATAAATTTAGATAATTTTTTGGATAATAGTTGTCATGATCTAAGGGTGATACTTTTTATAGGATGGTGCCTCCTTTCAACCCCTCAAACTTTCTTCTGGTACACCATTGCTCTTTTCTAGATCAAGGGTTTAATTCTCTGTTTAATTTAGAAACTTTTTTGTCTCTTGCAATGTTTTCGTATCTGCTGCCGTTTTCCAGCAAAAAAAATATAAATGATTTCTTGTAACTCGTTAAATTAAAAGCAGGATGTCAAATTTCTCTACATATTTATTGTTAGTAGAGAATTTTGGTTCTTAAACTACGGTCCGCCATCTCCCAAGGGGTCCGCGAAGATTTAGGAATCAATAATAACAACTAATTATGAATATGCACTATCTTATGTCAGAGTGCAACTTATTGTTTATCCAAAATTTACGTTTGGTGTGCAATTTAGAATGAATATTTCAAACGTTTTTGTTTTATATACATTTTTGCCTTATTTGTGGTTGTTAATTTGTTATTAAATTAAATTAATGTTAATTAAATTTAAAAAAAAATCAGCGTATAAAGGAAGTCTTCTACTTTACAACGAGCCCAAGTTTGTTATTAAATATTAAATTGAACAGCCAAAATACCGTTAAAAAAATTATTTCGGCGTTTTTTTTAAACAATATTTGATGCAATTGGTTTGAAATCTGTATATTAAAAAATTGGCGAGATAAGGGCCCTACTTCCCAGTTTTTTTTTGTTTTTTTTATTAATAACTTTATTAATTTGCAACTTAAAAATTTGAAATTTACACCGATGCGAGATAATATAATTACCTACCTTTGATCCCTTTTTACCGAATTTCGATATCTTGACTTGGGCAGAAGATATACGCGCTAGTATTTTCGACTTTATAATTTTGAAATTGGTGGTCCGAATTGCGGGTATTTGTTGAGCACTCCAACAGTTATTTTTTCCTATAGTTTCATCCAATTTCAGTCAAATTTATTGCTTTCATTTAATTCTGAAAATTTTGCACAATTTTTTTCACCGCTAATTTTGCATTGTAAAAATAAATTGCGAGCTTTCGCAAAAGCCTTTCCTTGTAGTAAATTTCCTCAGAAACAAACTCGATAAGTATACCTCATGTCGATTAGAGGCTTATTTTCGGAGATATAAGCGAAACACTGAAAAAAGAGCAATTTTTTTCATTTGTTATCAACAGTACGACGTTCGACCACTACAAATACACAAATTTAGGCTTTTATACCGTGTATTTTTTACTTAATTTTAAGCCCATAAAATTCAACTTAGGCCCGATTTTTGAAACAGTCCTGCATGTGTTTGGTCTAATTGGCCCTGATTATAAGTAACTTAATACTTAATAATGTTTGCCCAAATTCAGTGAGAAACTAAAAAGTTATACGAAAAATCAATTTTCAACTTTCAAAATATGTTTAAATTTGGGACAATTTTGAAACACCTACCTGCACTACGAGGTAGTGCCCATTGAGCCCCACACACCCTGTATGGGCATGCGCAAAACGTAGGGCGTACAATGGATAATCGAACTCCCTTTTCTCTGTTTGCATTTCAATTTTTAATTTTTGTTTAAATGTTTGCATGGTTTCAAATATCCATACTGGCATGTTTTTTTTTTGTTGGCATGTTTGCAAGTTTTTATTTTTGAATGCATTTATTTTTGTCTGCATGTTTTTATACAGGCTGTTACAAATTCGCTTCTCACTACAGGGATCTCAAAAACGGTAAGAAATACAAACTAGATTAAATGGGGGCAAAGTTGCGTAATTGAGGGACCAAAATTATGCCTCCAAAAAATCAAGGTCAACATGATTAGTTTTCGAAATATTTGAAAATAACCGAAATTTTGGAAATCCATTTTTGTTTCATTTCAGCCTTGTTTGAGAAGAATTGAAAAAGAACACTCATGGCAACTTTTTGCCCTCTATCGAATGGCATAATCATTTTTTATATGTAAAGTTTCGTCTCTACAGGACCATTCATCATTTCATTCATCATCATTTCTTCTCATCTTCATTTTTTTAAATACGACTCTGGAAATTTTCTTACATTTTTTTGCAAGCCTCCAAGACCCCCAATACCGTACTGCTTCAGCCCGAACTAGATTCAGATGTTTTGTCTCGAAAAAATCGTCTTCAGTGTATTCGTTCCAAATTTATCTAAATTTTTTATTGAGATTTCTTTGTTTATTGAATTATCGTACATGTATGTGTCGTTAGATCCTGTGAAATCTATCTATTTATTTAAACTATTACCACCACGCATTAAAATAAACCATTATAAGAGCTTTATTCCCGTGTCCATAGTTATATTTAGGCTTCTCGAGTGCTCAAAATTCAAATAAATTCCGATCTATTTTTTTTTTTTCAGGATATTCATACAAATACATCTGACATGCTCTTTCACAGTTGCGGTTACAGATATAATAAATTCCGACAATATTACGCTGAACTTCATTTTCAACCTTTACCAAAACGAAAATGTTTTTGAACATTTACTGAAATTTTTTAAAGAATAATATTCAGTTGGCGTTTTGGTTGTTCATATGCATTTTTAAGAATGAATTTGTCATAACAAAATTAAAATACTAATAATATTTTAATTGTGACGTAACAACTTATTGAGTATGACCAAGTGATGGTAATAGTTAATGTTTTATTGTAACGCGTGGTGGCAATAGTTTAAATAACTAGATGGTTTTCACAGGGTCTAGCGACACTTAGAGTTCGGATTGACGCAGTACATTATTGGTGGTCATGAAGGCTTACCAAAAATGTAATAAAATTTCTAGGGTCGTATTTAAAAAAATGAAGTTGATGATGATCCTGGAGAAGCGAAACGTTACATATAAAAATTAATTATGCCATTCGATAGAGGGCAAAAAGTGGCCTCGAGAAAGTGTTCTTCTTTTTTCAATATCACCTCAAACAAGGCTGAAATGAAACAAAAACGAATTTCCAAATTTTCGGTTTTTTCAAATATTTCGAAAATTAATTATGTTAGCATTTGTTTTTTTAGAGGCATAAGGTCCCCTGATTACGCAACTTTGCCCCCATTTAAACTACTTAGTACCTCTTACCGTTTCTGAGTTCACTGTAGTGAGAAGCGAATTTGTAACAGCCCGTAATTGTAATTTATTTATTTTTTTGTAATATTTATTCTTTTGATATATTTTTTAATTTTTTTGTTATTTTATGTTATCAATTAGTTTTTGTTATTTTTGTTTGCATGTTTTTATTTTTATTTAAATGTTTGCATTTAAATTTTTTATGTTTGTTTAAATTTCAACTGAATATTTTAGTTATTAATAAAAACCTTTTTTATGTCTTGCAAATGGCATAAGAAAAGCCCTATTATTTTCACCTAAAGAATCTGTGATTTGTGACCAATTTTTTATGTAGACCGTAGATAAAATTATACCTACTTTATATTATTTATTTTAAATAATATGTTATGTATTTTTTTTTCATGTTTCTACCTACGGCACTTGAACACTTTGGAACACCAGGCTGTAAGTATAAAACCCTATAAGTATTTAATTTTGATCTAATTGAAATAGAAAGAAACCTATTTAGTACCTTACTTAGCCGTGGGACAATATTGTAAACATGCTCTCCACACGAGGAGAAAAAACAAAAAAACAAACGAAACAATAAACCATTCCGACATTATTCCTTTTTAATGTCGGTGCCTGCACAAAAATGCCGTCCCAACAAAGTAAAACGTTTAAATATTTCATTTTTATTCTTTATCGCGCATTCTTGCGCCCGAGACGCAGTCATGACAAGTACGATATGAAAAACGTATTATGGCTTGTAGTAAAATTATTACAAAGGCGCCAAACATCGGACTCCACATTAGTGTTCTAGAAATTTAATTTACAGTGTAAGGACGAAGTTACCTCACGCGCACCTTCGTCCTTTGCTATCCTAGTGACCGGGACGAGGACGACCGATGGTGACGGCGGCGGTTCCGCCGTTGAATGTGGGCTAGTTTGTTCTGCGACCGAATTGGAATTGTCATCATGTGGAGATCTGATAAGGAGTAGCTTTTAGGGGGGCTGGAGCCCCACGGGGGGCCCGTGGTCCGCGGGGCGTCCTAAAACAAACAGCGTGTCCCTACGTTATGAGTCTTGGTAAAGTATTTCCTACTGGGCACTCACTCCGTATGGGAGTTTTGGTTTTGTTGTCCGGACGCTTGGACGGCGCGAGCAGTCTTAGAATTAATAGCATAGGAGTCGGCCGGTAAACAGATTTTTTTGCGGGGAATTGTTTTGTAATAAGTTGACTTTCACGTGCCGAGAAATTCTTGTGCGTATTTTTTGTTCCAGATGGATGAAAATGTTCAATCAATTAATCAAATCAGATAAAATATAGGGTGACCCAGAATATGTGGGCAATCTCTTAGATTTATGCAGTAGGCTATTGATTATGTCATATGGTATGGAACCACAACGTTGATGGGTTTTTATTGCATGAATCGTTCAAATGGTTATTTAGAATAAAAAAACCGCGGATTGTTATTAAATTAGAGGGTGGAAATTAGAGATAGGGGTGAAAATGCACCCCTTTCAGTTTTTTAATTGTAGCTCGAAAACGAAGCAAAATTTCGCTATAGTTCATAGGAAAAATTATTTAGAGAATTGAATTTCCCATCGAAATAGCTTATTAAAAAATTTAATAGGAAAATTGTATGCAAAATAATCGTTAATAAACAATTTGAAAAATAGCAAAAAATTCGATTTTCAGATTTTTTTTTTACTTTTTTACCTCTAGTTTTTTTTTTGAGTAGAGACAGGTATAGGCATTGCTTCATAGAAAAAAAAAGTAGATATAATTTACTTCAAAATAAGTAGAGTATTTTTGGATGAAAATTGACTGATATATGGCCCCTCAAACTTGGCCAATTTTTCGATTTTCGTCGCATTTACCCTTTACGTTCTCATTCTCATTTCAAAGAGGAAGGAAATAACACGTTCCAAGATTTTCTTCACATAACTTGTTCGAAGGGTCATTAAAAACCAATTCTGATTTTTACTCTATGTCACTCCCACCTCAATAATTAAAATTTTGATTTTAAAATTTGAATTAAGACATTATTTGAGGTTATTAACAGATTTGTTTTATAAAAATGTTGTGTAAAATAATAAATAATGGTACTTCTCTCTTGAGTATGACAGTCATTTTTTCGCGGGGCAGAACTTTTTATAAAGAGTGACATATTTCGATAAAGTCAAAAACAAGAGTTTCTCCTGTTGTCATAAATTTTATTGTACAAAATTCTCAAGCTTTTACTACATTATTTTATTAAAAAAATCAAAAAATCAGAAAATTTTCTTTTTTTCTTTTTTTAAAATTGTTTATTAAGGATTTTTTGCATAAAATTTTTCTTTTAAATTTTTTAAATAAGCCATTTCGATGGGAAATTCAATTCTCTACAAAATTTTCCCTATGAACTATACCGAAATTTTGCTTCGTTTTCGTGCTATATTTAAAAAACTGCAAAAGTGCATTTTCACCCCTATCTTCAATGTCAACCCTCTACTTTAATAGCACCCCGCGGTTTTTTCATTTTTAATGACCCTTGAACGTCTTATTTCTTTCCTCTTTTGCAAAAAATGAGAATTAAAACGTTTAAGGGTAAACACGACGGAAATCGAAAAATTGACTAAGTTTGAGCGGCAATATATCAGTCAATTATCATCCAAAAATACTCTACAACCTCTTGTTTTCTACAAAATTTTTCCTATGCAATACCCTCAAATTTGCCTTCGTTTTCGAGGTAGGCTCAAAAAACCGTAAGGGTTGAATTTTCACCCCTATCGCCAATTTCCACCCTCTAATTTAATAGCACTCCGCGTTTTTTTCTTTCTGAATAACCATTTGAACGATTCATGCAATAGAAACCCAACAACGTTGTAGTTCCTTAGTACCCCTTTTTAAGGCATAATCAATAGCCTACAGGGGATGTTAAAATAACATGACAAGTTCCTATAAAAATTTTCCGTAGAGGGTCCCCCTACGGAGATAACGGCCCCTAAAAGATGGCCCTAATTTTTTTTAATAACTTTTAAAATACTTTGTGTAATTTAATTATTTTTTAATTTGAAGGACAACAGATAAGACTTTAAAAATTGACCCTTGAAACCAATTTTGCTTATTTAGTTTGCCAGGGACGCTTTAGCTGTAGCCCAATAATGCCAATTTTTTTACACCCTTTACGATAAAGGCACAAAAATAATATTTTTAAATACCTTCAACCTTAAACTAAAAAAGGTACTCTTGGTTGATATCGATAAAATGAACAGTTCTTGAGAAAAAACTATGATTTTTATTACATAATTTTTGTATGTCGGTTCAACTTGAACTCCTAGTGTTATGCATTCTCTAAGTCTACGAATCACAGATTATTGGATCGAGGAGGCCAAGCCACTGGTCCTCTTCTTATCCAATGATTTTCAAAACTGCCTGACTAAAATGCATCATACATGAACCACATCCATGTCGTATTGCCAAAGGTAGATCGTCTGAAAGTTTCGGCAAGTTGTCTTGGAGAAATTCCAAATAAAGTTCCCCAGTTAACCTTCTAGGCAATACAAATGGTCCAATGAAATGTTGCCCGATGATTCCGGCCCATAGGGTTCAAACTGGTGCTGATGATACGTCACAATAGAAGCATGTGGATTTGCTTCTGCCCATAAATGTAAATTATGGGAGTTTATGATTCCATTTTTACAAAATCCTGCTTCGTCCGTAAAGAGAATTGGACCGATGAAATTTGCATTGTTACAGTACCTAAACCCAGTTTGAAAATTACATCCTTTGCGGAAAGAAGTGCATGAACTTTCTGTATGCATGCGATAGAGATGCAATTGTTGCTCTTTAAGGATTCTAAGAACCGTATGATTTGGGCAATTAAACTGGGCAGCCAATTTCCGGACACTTTTTGAAGGATCTGCTTTACGGCACTTATGATATCTTCTTCAGCGACCTCACCGCGATTGATTTGATTTCCACAATTGCGTTCGGCTTTGGCAAACGTTCCTAAAATTATTTACAGCATTTTAATTCTACATATTACCTACTTAAAAAGTAAACTAATGCAAGTAACACATAAATTGTAATTTTTACCAGTCTCTCTTAATCGCTGATCCACTCTTTCAAAGATTTTCCTGTCGGGAATTCTTCGATTTGGAAATTGTTCCTCATAAAGCCTTCTGGCTTCGAAGGACGTAAATTTCATTACAGCAAATAAAATAAATCCGAGGAATAAAAAAAATAATGAAAATATCATAAGTTTCGACACACTCTATCCTTAATTGACAGACTGAGATAGGTACTGTAAAAACGACATTAAATAAAGGTGTCATTTTTTAGATAGGCACAGAAAGAATGCTTTCATCGGTTGTTTCTCTGTACAGATGTAATAAATATCATATTAAATAAAAATTATTTTTTTCTCGAAAATAGCTCATTTTAACGATATCAACCAAGAGTACCTTTTTTTAGTTTAAGGTTCTAGCTATCTAAAAATATTATTTTTGTGTCTTTATCGTACAGGGTGTAAAAAAATTGACGTTACCGTGCTACAGCTAGTCCGTCCCTGGAAAACCATATAAGCCAAATTGTTTTCATGAGTTAATTTTTAAAGAGTCTTATCTGTTGTCCATCGTATTAAAAAATAGTTAAATTATACAAAGTTTTTTAAATGTTATTAAAAAAAATGATTTTCAGGGGCATCCTTTAGAGGCCGGTATCTCCGTAAGGAATTTTTTTTATAGGAACTTGTCATGTTATTTTAACGGCCCCTTTATAAATCCGAGAGATTGCCCAAATATTCTGGGACACCCTGTATACATCCGCGATATCATTTTGAGCTTATTTTCAAAATAAGTAACTACTGGAAGCGATTGTTTAAGGTGTTAGTTTTGGTAGTACATCAAAAATGAAAGAGCATTTTCGTCGTTCTAATTTAATGATATTTTCTTGTGTAAACGTTTGGTCTTGAATCCTACATCTTTTAGATACATGATGTCTTTTGAACAAGTGAAATTATTGAAATGAAATTTTGTATACACAATATACAAGATTAGGTTGTATCTTATTTGGATGTAACTCCAAGTACCTCGCTGCTGCATGACCACAATAATTTTCTTGGGCATACACACATACCATGCTTCTCATTTCAACAAATAAAAAATCATTATGACGCGACATTTTGATAAACAAAATCACAAACGAAGAAGAACTAAACTATCTAGTCTTTGTAAGTTGCTTAGAATCAACATAAATAATACATGACATTTCATTGACAGCGGCCTATTTTATTTAAGTCTTCTTATTTAAAGGAGTATGTTGAAACAATTGTAAATCGTCTTTATTTCGAAAACGGTTAAGTTTTTTTATTATTAACAGGTATACTCTTTTTATTTAGAATTAGACGTGGTTTAATAATTTCTTATTGGAGGTTCAGATTTGTGAGGAACAAACAAGTTTTGATATATTTTTTCTATGACAAGACACTACAAGTAGCGCCCGCTAGAACTGACAGCAAAATAGTTACAAATTTCGTAATTACCACCTCAAAAAAAGATAGGCATATATACAAATTTTTAAGACAATCGGTTCAAAGATGCTCAAGATATTTCAAAAAATCGATTCAAATTTTTCAACTTTAACACCCTGTAGATTCGAATAAGACATGTTTGGTTTTAATGGTTCTATTTTGAAGTCAGCAACCTGCTAAGCTCTGTCCCATTAGTAATGAATCACTCTGTATTAATAAAATGGCGTAAATATTGTGTTTGCATGTTGCTTATGCATGATTCTTCAAAAATTATGTTTTTTTTTTCATTTTTGAAATATATATTTTGTAAATATAGCTTCTATCTTTTCGATATAAATTAGTGATCTGTAACGAAGATAAATGTAGAGATCTGAAAAATATATTCAAAATGGCGCATATGTCCCTCAAAATCTTTCAATACAGCCTCATTATCTGAAGATTCATATAAATAAATATTCTTAAAATTCGAGAGGGAAAGCGCTTTCTAATTTTTGTCACGTATAATTCTAAAACCATCTAAACATACGAAGTCTGTCCAGAAAATAACCGATCTTTATTTGTATAAACTTTATTATTAATCTTATAATAATAAACGGAAAAACATTCTCATTACTTTCAATGCAGAGAAGCAGTTATATTGTAATTAATCGTCTAATTGTACAACGAATTTCTCTAGTTTGATATCAAACTGTCAATGAATCGAACAAATTAATCTTCAATTAATAGAATTGATACTTAATAGTAAGGGAGGCCTAGAGGGGATTTTGAGATTTACTCTAGCGCGTCAAATTAAGATATGATGGGTTAATTACATGCTGAAAAATGTGCATTTCAATAATCTGACGATTTGAGCGTGACGTAAGGCAATCGGAAGGTCACAAAGTTGCAAAAAAAACGACACCTCGACATTCTCGAGCGCGATCGATTTTTTTTTTATTTTGAAGGAAATAATTCAAGGATAACGGGAAAAATATAATCTGCCGATTTCCACAAGCCGAAGCAACAAAAATCGTTAATAAAGTTTAGCGCGTGCAGCTGCAGGGAAATACATGTGGTTTTGAAACTCCGTCAGGAAACTCCGGGAGGTGATTCTATGGATTAAAACAATAGCAGTATGTAACGAAATTTTTTTCGAATTGTCAATTGTGTGCAAGTTACAGCTTGTCGAAGTTCATTTTTTTTATTTTTTTATTTAAATAACTTATTTAATTCATGTTCGATTAGTCTCTCATTTGGCACACCCACTAAGTAGATGAAGCTCTATTGGACCAGTCAGAGAAAAGTTTCATTATGCGCCGCTAGAGGGCACTTTACCTAGAACTCAAAATTCACTTAGTTCATAACTTTTTTCTCTTGCTAGACATCACAGAAATTTAAACATTATTGAAAAGAGAAACAATATCAGAAAAAAATATGTACTCTTTGTTCAAGCCGATAAATCTAACCGTTGACCAGGAAATCGCTATTAATGTGTTATTAAACATCTAATTTTTGATCATTCTTTCTGTAATTATGTACAGGGTGTCCCGAAGTTAATGCAACAAAACTTGATCATAGATTCTTAAGACAAATTTAGGAGACTCGTATTTTTTATTTTTGCCAATAAAACGATAAAAAAAACTAAAAATATCGTTTTTTATTAACCTCGGCCATATATTTTTTTACCTTTTATTTCTTTATCATCTGTAATAGTAGGGGAGCCCAGAGGGCTAAATGCGTCTTTACTCCAGAACTCTGACGACCTATTGGATCGCGAAGATTATATGCTAAAAAAAAAGTTTATGTTATGTATACCTGTTTAGTGGTGGGGGAAGCGTGTATAAATTTTTAAAAATGTAAAAAAATAGTTACAAAAAAATCTTCAAGCGCGTCAGTGTTCGATAGCGTGTACGGTCTACGAACTCCTGTTTACAGAGAGATATTAGTCTGACGAATCGCTAGTTGCAGGTAGCTGTATTACGAGGTAGAAATTGGGGGAAAAATCAGATTATTAAAGGGATTTTGTTTTCTGCATGTAACTAACTTATTTTGTTTAAATAAGATGTGCTCGAGTTTTTTTGAGGATCGATTTTTTTTTACTAATCTGATCGACTGCCCTAGACATACGTCACTATAGAATATAATCAAAATAGAATAGAATTTATTGGTCTACATTAATTAATACATAACATATTATAGTAGCTAGCCAAGGAACACAATAAAAAGAACAATTTAAAAAAATAGAACTAAAGCACTAGATATATAGAAATACACGTAGATCTAACAATAAAATTTGCTTTACAACATAATACACGTTAGAGTAAAAGACAACTAAAAGTCATGAACACTATATATTGAGGGACCCTATTTGGTAAAAGTACTTAACATAGTACAAAGATTCTCCCCTAATATTAAACTGCTCAGCTCAGGTCACATACAAAATCCCCGCTTGGGCTCCCCTACTATAATTTTATCAGAGAAAGAGATTACCGAAAGTATATATTATATGTGTTTATATGTATTATAATTAAAAGAAATAGATTTACATGTGCAGAAAATAAAATAAAAAACTTTTTTTACAAATTTCAACAAAATTTATTATTTGTTTTTATTTGCATGTTATTTTTTTTTCAAACTGTCAGATCAAGAAAACCCTTCCAAATAATCGTCAGATTATGGATCAGCACGAACAGGGCATCAAGTCTATATGAAAATCTGACGCGCTCGAGTATTTCAAAATGGCGATTTTTTTTTGTATTTTCAAAAAGCTGCCACAAGTTTGCGTCACATCCGAATCGTCAGTCTTTTGAATGGGAGCTTCGTTCGGGTTCACTTAACATCCCCTCTGAATATCTGACGCGCTCGAGAAAAATTTTTTTTTCTTCCCATATTTAACCTTTCCATATGACCATCCAGATCGGCAGAATAACATATCTCCGTTATCGGAGACACGTAGGGCATGGCATATACACTATCAATATCTGATGCGCTCGAGTATTTCCATGCGACTGTTTTTTTACATTTTTGAAAGCCTGTAGGCGCTCTCCCCACCGGTAAAAGGGTATACATCATATAACCTTTTTTTCTTTCTACCATCTAATCTTCAAAATCCAATCGGTCCCTACGACGCTCGAGTAAATCCCCGTTTAGCATCGTGGGCTCCCCTACTATTAAAAAATATTTCGCTGTACAGTTTAAGTATATCTACAAAGCAAATGTCTGAAACAGTTCTAGAAGAAATATATCATACGTAGAATTGTATAGAGTTTCAGTTTTGTGTAACCAATACTATGTAGGCAAATTTATGCATCAGATAATTTTAGCAGGACGAAATGTCTAGAATTACAGTAAATTTTAAATATTATGCACACCACAACTGAACGGAACTTAATTCGTACTTTATAAATGTTTCGTGTTACCTCATAAATCACGTAATCAAAAGCTTTATCATAAAAAGTATCACCCAATTATTTCCAAGTATTGTTCAAAAAGTATAATTGCGAAATTTGCTTTTAAAATTACATGGTTCCTCAATGTTTTCTCAGAAAACAGGCGCAACTATTAGTCTGTCTTTCGAATAAAATATCATGGCCTAATCTCCTAGCCGGTCATTAATCAAACTGTTATGATTTAAATTTTTTTAATACCTATTAAGCTAGGCGGACAAAAGTTAAAACTTAAAGTATATTAAATATAATTTAGTTTCATTATTCTTATTGTCCTTAAAATAAAGCCGGCTTCTAATTATACGTATAAGCAACAGTATCTTAAATCATATTAAAACAGAATAATATGAATATGATAATTCTGCTTAATGGATACCATGCAACCGTTAAGCTTCCATAAATTTGAATTAATAATGAAAATATTTTGTTACAGTCAACCGGTGTTCCATTATATCACTAAATGTTGAAGTTAAACCATATAATCTAGCATTTCACACTCTTTAGGCCGCCAGTAACATTATAAAAGGTTGGAAGCCACGAATTTATTTAAACGTGCTTGTGTGCTGCTCACTGTTTCCGCCATCCAATGAAGCTGCTATTAATAATGCATGTGCAAATTTAATTTAAAATTGCCTGTAAGCATATAGCCTATGTATTTTATTAGAGTAATAACGTTTTCGAGAATGATTTTGAAAGAAAAATACTATTCATACCGTAGATGCTATATTTCGCGGGGGTAGTTAATTTTAATTTTAAATAACTGCACATTTTCAGTCAGTGATCCGTGCTTCGCGTTCCAATTCCTGGATAAACATTGTTTTGATATGTTAATAAATTAGCCAAAATCATTAGACGTCGAATCAATTTTTAAAACACACTTGCACGAATTTGACACGAAAGGAAACTCCTAAGCTGGAAACTGACATATTGAGAAATGCAGTACTAAACGTTTAATTTATTTATAGGGCTTACTGTTTTAGAAATTTCGTGTAGAGTGCCTTTTTCATATATATAGAGGGTGATTCAGAACATATTTTGAATGTACAGAGGACCACAACTGTTATAACATCAGGTATGTCAAATAATTTTATTAATTAAAACGTCAAATTAATTGTCGTTAAATTTTGTCTCCCGACGTGTAAACACATTTGAGCCTGTCTTACCCAGTTTGTACAAATGTTTCTGGTTCTTGTCCATTTTGAACTCATAAGTTATTGGCAGCAGCCATGATACGTTCACGTAAACCATCAATAGTGTCCACTTCATTTTTTAAATATCCCTACAAAAAGAAATCCAAAAGTCCTCGTGTACGATACGCTACACTGTTGATTGGAACACTCCTTGTACTTGTTGAGTGATATGC